GATTATCACGACCAATCTCACAAAGTGTTCATCTTCTTGTCAGAATAGAGCAGTCAGATACTAGAGTTTATCAATAATTGAAACACTACCAGACAGCAAATAATTAAAATGAAAGCTTATATGCGGGAATTTACAGAATAAACAGGACACATTATAAGTTAAAAAATATAAAATAATTTCTTGAGATCATTTCTGGCATTAGATGCTTACCACACTCTTCATTTGAGGTTACTTTGTTCTGACTTCGAGGCCAATACCTGAAAGCCTGACTCTCCGACCGCGAACAAGAGCTTGAAATTTGACAATACCCCACATGCAATGCAGGGTGGTAACTGATTGACGCCTCACTAGGTGCCCACGAATTAGAACCTGCAGTCTTATGATGCCCTTCAATGCACAGAACACCCTCCGTGACTGCACATAAATACAAACTCTCTCTTCCTTGAATTCTCCTGTGTGTTATTTAATTTGCATATACAACCCATTTTTAAGAAATTAAATGAAGAATAAAATGGTCCCAATAATAGTATATGATGCCAATGTTACCAAAGAAGAATGCAAACAATATTTCCACAAGAATTACCTGATAACCCCTGAAGGCAGCTTGAACTTTTGTAGCAGCACGCTCTTCCAAGGCTTTGGCTGGATTACTTGAAGCTTGATGTCCAACAATTTCTTGGCTCTCCACCCTAACTGCTCCAGTAACTAAAGTGGAATCTGTCCTATTTTCTGATGATGTACCAATTGAATTGTTGCTTACAAGAACTGGTTGATTAATTACCGGAGATTTCACTGTGACATGAGATGGTTCCCCCACAGAAAAATGCTCTTTATCAACACCAGGTTTCTTCAAAAATACAAATGAGGATCAAAAGATCAATTAGTGAAGAAGCTCTCAAATATAATAGATTCATAAGATTACCTGTTGTACTTAATCCATTATAATAACTTTGGAAGTAAACAAAGCTTAAATGGTCAATTTAAAGAAATGAGGAAAACTTTAAATGCAACCCTTCTAACTTATAGGCATATCTTCAGTTATTTCCAAAAAATGTTGGAAGAATAATTTACGTTTTTGAAAATCTCGACTTTACCTTGGATGACTATGATTTGAGCTAGTTTAAACCTAATTCATGGCATTGGTGGGGTTGGTTGTGTATGGTTTAGGAGCTTAACACGTCCAAGGTCACCTTACTCGATAACCATGTACCAAACTATCCCCTCCATTTTGTTGGAAGCAACCCCTTGAATTGTCTTAACTGAAAATAACATGAAAAGACAGATACTCACATTTCTGCACATAGGCAGTGCAACAATATATATTGTGCTTGATGATATACCGAATTTCACAGTGATGTAAAAGGAAATGCATCAAATAAAGTATTGATGTTATAAAAGGAAATATTCCTTAAGTCAGTGCAGGGATTTGGAAAGACATTTATACTTGAATACATCAACATTCTCTACTACCAGGCAAAACTTCCACAGGAAGATAGCCAACCATGTAATCAGTAAACAAGTCCATCGCACACCAAATAGAAAATTAATATGTTCAATAATTAACCAATAGATTCTCAATTCCATACCAAACCATCTTTCCCTTTTGAAGTATGAGATCTAGATGATCTCTTTCCAAAAATAACTGCTTTAATCCACTTTGCAGGAGATTTTCCCATCACAGAAATCTTTAGATGCTGTTCCCCTAAACTCGCAACTGCAGAGAAATTGTCAAGTAACTTTAAGACAAAGGAAAAAAAAATCCAATCATGTTATAAGAAATACAAAATTGATCTCATCAGTACATGCTAGCTTTGAACATGTCACATGTAGATAATTTTAATCCTGTTTCGAAGGGAGCATCAATCCATCATATTATTTTGAAGGACGTGGAAATGTATCAGCTCATTTACAAAATAATATACTAAAACAGCAAAGAGATTTCAACGCGCAGATTTAGTTGGGAATCAAACCTCAAAAGGAACATCTAAGCATAAAATAATGGTACGGGGACTACCCCACATGAACTTAAATATAACAATACCAAAGGGAAACTTAAACCTCAGTGAGAAAAACATAAAACCCTAATCTCCACCTGCATCAGAGCACGAACACAGAACCCTAACATGCATGTCCATCAGGATCAATCTACAACGAGAATCCTCGCATCGAATTCCATATGCGCAAAATCAAACTCGCAACCAATAATCACGAGCGAAAAATATCTCAGAACGCGCAAGAAGTGGCTCAAGCTACAGATCCCCAGCACCAAGTCCAATGTTCCTCGTAAGAAATCAAAACCAGGAGAAAAGATTCACATCGAAACGTAAAAGATGAAGATCAAGAGGATCCGAAGCTCACCGAGGAAATCAATTCAAGATCAGAGGCACATTTCGCAGATCTATGAGCAGATGAACACCCCCGCAACTGCGTTGCGGAAAAGGCAAGCGAAGAAGGGTTGGTGAATGAAAGAGCGAGCGAGTGAGCGAGAGACGGTTCGAAATAAGACCAAAAGCCGTAGAAGACTACGAGATAGAAGGCGTTGTCATCGGTAAAGGAAGACGCCGTTAGAGTATATCAAAAACGGCGTAAATGTGACCGCTTCCGGGTTGTGCGACTCAGCTGCATCGTCCGAATCAGCGTTCAGGGTAGATGAATACCAAACCTAACGAACAACGAACCGATGATTGTAATTTTGAGATCCAACCATGCTGAACCCTGTGTGGTTTTTACATGAAATCCTCGTTCTTTTTGGACTTCCAGTGTGCTGATAGGCCACTTCACCCCCGCTGTCTACGGTCTTTAGATTTCATCCTTAGTATATACACTCATATGCATTAGTTATTTACGATGCCGCCCTCGACCTTTTATAGTATGGGAGTCCATCCATGGCGTCCGATGGTTCTTTGATGGATCTCAGCCGTCCATTCTACGGGCCACCGAATGAATTGGGTCTGCGGTCAGTCACGTGGTCGAATCATGGCCCGGACGAGGCATGATTGCCGGGTGTCGGGTGCAGACCCGAGACATGGTCAATGATATCAGTGTTGTCACACTGTTATCGCCCATAGACAGTTCAAGTTCAGAGAGATTGACTGATACTTTGCTTTCGTATTAATGGAAGAAACATACAACAGCCAGTGAGCCTGTCTGACAGGCCACCAATCTAGCAAACAAGTTTTTCTCTTCTAGCTAATTTGTTCTGGTTTGTATATTTCAAAATTTCTTCTGAGCGGAGTTCGGAGGAGGAGACAATGGCCATTGTTAGGGTTCAGATCACAAACCTGACTGATACTTTCTTTCGTATTAATGGAAGAAACATACAACAGCCTGTGAGCCTGTCTGACAGGCCACCAATCTAGCAAACAAGTTTTTCTCTTCTAGCTAATTTGTTCTGGTTTGTATATTTCAAAATTTCTTCTGAGCGGAGTTCGGAGGAGGAGACAATGGCCATTGTTAGGGTTCAGATCACAAACAGCTGGCATAATGTTCATCACCTCACGGTCCTACTTGCTCAAATTTTGTATGAGGTTGAAGCAATGGCCTCTTCAACCGTCATGTAGAAGCATTCTGGTGCAAAGAGCTCCCAGGTCCCCGAGTGAGACATCTTCTGTGACACTTCTCCAACAGGATTTGCTAGCACCAGCTGCAATTTTTGTAGACAGGTTATTCATGGTTAAGATGGATGTGATGACGACGATGATGATGGTGGAGACTTGGTTACCTCAAGAGATCTTCTGTCAAGTGTCCTTTTCTGTTGTTTGAGCGATTCAATGCCGCTTATGTCGATATTCGTCAGAGCTGTGCCAATTTGGTAGTTCATGATCAGTGTACAAACACTAGATTGAAGTTTCTCTGATAAATTTTGAGCGCTTCAACGCCACTTGCCAGCCATGTCCAGTATGATGCATTTGAGGGGGCGAGAGTTGGCGATCCTCTCTTCCTCTTCTCTAGTGTATGTATGCATGCAGCATTGGCGTGGAGTTAAGGTAGGAAGCGAAGGAGACGAATGAGGTTTTGCTTTATGGCCTTTTCTTTTTTATGCTCGTGAAAGGAGTTGCTTAGAAACGCTTTGTTGTCGTTCCTTTGCGTCTGATGCATGCATGCGTCCATGTTAGCATACCTTTAGCAACGTAAACCTAAAAGCAGAAGCTTCGCTGCAGATGCCGTCGACGCTTCCTTTGGTCGCAGGACAACTGGCCGGGGATGCGTTCGGTACGAGAACTGGAAAGCAGGAGGTGGAGAGACATAGAGGGAGAAGAAAAAGGCATTGCTATTGCACCGGATGGTGGAAAGGCATAGGATTCCGAGGTACGCGGCGAGGGGTAATCGGTGAAGGACGGGCACGCAGCTCACACTGTAATTAACCTTTCAGATCTCCAGCTTCAATGGCTGCCGTTGCTCCGGCCATCGCCCTCACCTCCCGTCTTCTCTTCTCCCAAACATTGCAGGAATCCGACCATGTGGCCCGTCTCCATCCATCCGATTCGACGGTGCAGCTTTCATCGGTTCATCCTTAGCCACCGTTGGATCACAATCCTCAATAATAAATATAAATACATTCGTATATATTTCTCAAAAGAATAAATAGCTCCATATTATTTCTCTAAAAATATTGAATAGAGTTTGTATAGTATCCCTCAATATTCCAAAACTCTTAAAATATTTAAAAAAATAGAGTAATTTTGTATATCTTATTTTGGAGGTTTTATATTAAAATTATTGTGTTTTTATCTTTATGATTTCCATAACATAAACCCAAAAGAATGGAAAAAAAAAGTGAACCGTTGGATCACATCGCAGGTCAAACATGGCCACTGATCTCAGTCCCAATCCTAACTCGTACTTCACCACTGACCTACGCGTTTTTTTCTAACTTCTTTGTGGCTACAGCGCAACGGGCCCCTCTGTAAGCTCCAATCAGGAGTCAGGTAACCCGCATTCCACATTTAGATGCAGTTGGACGTCTTCATACAATTGCCATTGAGTTGAATCCAACAGTTGACCCAATTCGTAAGGGATGATTTTGAGCCAATCACTTAGAAATTTATTGTTGCTCGTTATATAATGACCAACATTTTATTTCTTTTTCTGTAATTACATAGGGCTTTTATCTAATTAGATAGTACACCGTTATATATATATATATATATAATAATGATGATGATGATGATGATGAAAGTGTCTTCTCTCCATCGACGTCGATCTGGCACTCGGGCAAGTGGCTCAGAAACCAATTTCGACGGCGATGGGGGTCGTCACGACATGCGTTCCAGAATCCCACTCAATTTTGCCTCTTCCGTAGGGTCTGCTGGTCTTGTCTAAAGACTCGATGCTGATGTCGATGTCGAAGGTGTCTTCTTTGTCGGGCCCAGAGAATTGAAGCTCCTGTTTCGAGAGCTCCACTGCGATCCCTGGCGGCGCGGTAACTCTAGCACGGTAGGTCTCCGCCGATCCATCGACGTGCTTCACGGTCCGAGAAACTTTGATCACCTCGTCGGGAGAAAGAACCACCGAGATGGAAGGGTAGTTCAAGTCCCATGGATTGATATGCTTCTCCGCTTCGCACTGGACTCCGCTCTCGTGCCACATTAGCTCGACCATCGCGGTGGTGTACCCTAAGGAACAGAGGTATTTGGGGTAGATAGCCGGATCGATCTCGTAAACCAGGCCTGGATCCAGAGCTCCCGATGGATTAACCTGCCCGGCGCCGACGGCGAAGACGTTGGCGGCTTCGTTGGTGTGCTCGTCGATGATGTAGTTGCCGTCGGAGTCTGTGTCCTTGGCGGACGTTATGATGGCTGAATGGATCGCGGAAGGACTCCAGTTTGGGTGGCTGTTCTTGATCAGCGCCACGATGCCAGCGACGTGAGGAGCTGCCATGGAGGTGCCACTTATCATGTTGAACGTGGGGTTCGACGGGGTTGCGCTAGCATTAGGTCCGACCATGAATGGCCATGCCGCTAATATGTTCACGCCAGGCGCGAGGACGTCCGGCTTGAGAATGTTGCCATTGTTCGGTCCCCTGGAAGAAAACGAAGCTACGGTCGGAGATGGCCGCTGCTCCAAAACCGTGCCACCGAAGATGATCGTTGCTGTGCTCGAGCTTTTCTGTGATTTGAAGTATGCAAGGACTTTCGATCCGTCCTCGTAGCTCAGATGAGATACTGGGAGGACGTGAGCCTCGGCACTGGTAGTGTAACCATCCTTTTTTCGGTTCATGATGATCATGGCGGCGCCTCCCGCTTCAGAGACCGCCTTGCCCTTGTCGACCTCCTCTGTTTGACCAGCAGAACAAAGAACGATCTTGTCACGCACGTCGATGGTCTTAAGTGATTCGGCGGAGCAGTGATCCTCGCCAGGGTACACGATGGTGCGCATGATGGATGAATCGAAGGAGTCAGGTTGGTAAGCAGACTCGCCGGCGAACTCCTCCCCGTTTCCAAGCTTCACCTTGGCTCTTATTCTCCGGTCAGTAGAGGTGGCGCCGACGGTCAAAACCCACGGCGCGTCATGGTGCAGTGTGTTGAACATGGGGCCTCCGTTGCCGGCGGTGGTGACGGGGACGATACCGTGACGCAGTGCTGTGAGCGAGCCGAGTTGAACGGCATCTTCGAAATAGTAGCTCGTCGCGGCAGTAGTTCCCAAAGACATTGACAGTATGTCGACCCTGTCCTCGATAGCTTGATCGATGGCAGCTAAAATGCCAGAGTCGGGGCAGTCCACGTCATCAAAGCACACCTTGTAGATGGAGAGGTGAGCTTTGGGTGCGATCCCGGAGGCGTTGCCGGCCGCCATGCCAAGGACCTCAGCACCTTCGACGAAGTTGCCAGCTGCAATGCCAGCCACATGCGTCCCATGGCCATGGTGATCGATGGCGATGACCTCTTCACCTTCAAGAAAACCCCTGGCCCCGACGATCTTGTTGTTGCAGGTAACACCACTCCAAGGGATGCAAGACCCTTTGAACTTCTGCGGCGGAGCCGGCATTCCGTCGTGGCCAAAGGAGGGATGGGGCCAGATCCCGCTGTCTAGCACCCCAATGACGACGCCTTTGCCCTCGTTCCCGGAGTCCCAAGCCCCCCCCGTCTGGCTCAGCCCCAGGAACTGCGGTGTGTGGGTCGTCGCGATCCGATGCGTCACCTCCAGTCGTGCATACACGAACCCCTCCATGGATCTCATGGCCGTCGCTTCCTCGGGCGTCAGCTTCGCGGCGAACCCACTGATGACCTCGCGGTACGAGTAGATGAGCCGCCGCTTCCCGGAGTCGAGAGTGGTGTTGGGAAGGAAGGACTCGTGCCACTGCTTAAGCTCATGCCTGGTGAGCAGACGTGCGCCTTCGGGCCTCTTGACATGGACGATGTAAGTCCTGAGGCGGTACGACGTCGTGCTGTCTCCTCGGTCATCGACGACGGGAAGAAGCTGGCCTTGGCTCACACGAAATGCCAAACCGTTCAACAACAGGAAGAGAACGCAGCACTTGAGGACGAGTGGCCCGCGGTGCTCCATTGCAACGGTGGAGAAGGAAGCTTCCGATGATTCCACGTGCAAATTACCTTATCTGCATGGAATTCATTGCATCATGCATTAATAACGCAAGAATAAGTGAAACATAATTACAACAGCAACTGCAGGAAAAGTCTTTGATAGTAAATCATAAATCCATTTTAAGTTAACGGGTCGGGTTAGAGAGTTTATTCTGCCCGACTTCCCTCGATCTCTACACTCCATCATCGTTCTCCTCTTTATTCTTATTATGAATTAAGAAGCTCATTAAAAAATAATAAATAAATAAAATTCATATTCTTACTTGAGGAAACGGACAGCCACTGCTACGCAGGACTCTGCCTGAGGTGGGATGGGAACTGAGAGCTGCATGGAGCTATTTATAGCAGTGCGTCTTGTAAGGATAAGGACTAATGGAGCTATTTGCTTCAACCCTCATCTCCTCTTTCCCTCATTTCTCGTGCTCGTGATAAAGAAGAGATTAAGTCAGGTTGAGATACTTCCTTCCTGGACTGACTCTATGATGGATCGATTTGTAACGACCCCTTTAGATTATAATATATATATATATCTCGTGATGGAGAATCGCTACCATCTTCTCTCGTGAATGTGATAAAAGAAGATAAGGAAAAGTTGAAGACGTCCTCCCTCCTCCCTCCTTTTCTCGTGTTGGTGATAAGGAAGAGATGGGTAGGAGGGAGTCGTGTGTTATATTGGAATCTGCTGTTTTGGTTGCACTCAGCGGTACGCTTTAAGATAAATGGACTCCGATGTCAGAATTTTCGGATCCAAATACGAACCCGAGAAAGAAAACTACGGGTACAAATCGGGTATCGAGTTGGGTCTCGGATCTTTACAGAATGGATCGACGAGTCGTGCTCTACTAATTGCTTAATGAGATCCGATAATCGAGACTTTACCTATGTTGTCAAATCGGATTCACTAATCAATTTGGTCGTCTATTCAACTTGGTGAAATGGACTGGTTTTAACTTGTCTTTTGACTGTTTGTTTTCAGAAGAAAAAAACATGTGAAGAATTTGAAATTTAAAATTGACAGAAATCTTTGGATGATTTTTCTTCAAAAAAACCTTTATTTTTTATTTTATTTTACATAATCTTTGGATGATTGTTCTTATGATCATCGATTTAATAAAAATATTTTTTCTTTACATAATCTTTTGACAAGATATGTTAGTATCTTTGTGATCTTTGCTAGCTGACATGTTGTGTGGGCAATTCCATTTCTTTTAACCTGCTTGCTGGCCTCTTCACGAACCTAATACTAATAGAGATGAGGATCATCATCGTGGAAGAGCAGTGACAGGGAGCTGAACTCCTTTCGATGGACTACTGTTTCCTCCTCCTTGACGAATACTGCACTCTGTACCTTCTGCAAAGATTTCCTTCCTTCTCCAATTTGTGTACGCAGTATCTGATGAACTACTCAGCAAAACTGATGGAGAAAGGGATGAACGCTGACAAACAAATCCAACATAATATATTAACGAGGAACTGAAGCGTAGTTCTCAAGCAATCACATGAGACGGTAGAAAGATACGGAGGCTTCTAGTGCTAATAAACAAATCCAACACCACCCACTGGAGTGCATAGATCACAGTACAAACATATACACGAGGAACTCGAGCAGAGTTCTCACAAGCAGCATATCAAATGGCACACCGTGCCTTATTGATCACAGGAAGCCACGACACGCTTCGAACACCTGCACTCACACGGTGCTGCTCTTCTTCTTCCTGCGGCCTTGATCCATCAGAAGCAGCAGCAGAGGCACTCGAGGCAGCACTCACAGGTCTCGAAGCAGCAGAAGCAGCAACAAAACGCAAACAAACTGCCAACACCACCAAAGTTCTAACTTTATATACATACATATGACAGAGGAATCAAGAGGGGGCAGAAGGAAGCGTGAAGATGCTGCCATGGCAATTACCAGGCGTAGAGACAGCCCTTCTCTTCGTGCCGCTTCTGGACGTGCTCCATGTACGATATCTCCTGCGCGCTGGGAGCGTCCATCTTCCCTCTCGGAGACCAACACACAGAAACAACAAGGGAGGATGAGACTGGTGCTGCGAGTCTTCACAGATTTAATTTGCTTGCTTGCTTGTCTATCTTGGAGGTCTTTCTTTATTGTATCTCTGTAGTTTATCTATATTTCCCAGATCGATCTCTCTCTCTCTCTCTCTCTCTCTCTCTCTCTCTCTCTCTCTCTTCTGCTGTCCGACAGCAACCGTTGTGGGTCGGGCATGCGTAGGTAAACGATTCCAGCTTCTATTACCTGTCACATGGAGGGTGGAGAGAGACAGCTGAACCAATGCATATCCCATTGGAGCAGCAATCAATGGCGAAAGATGGGGACTTGATTGTTATCTGTCACCCATATTTAAAAGAAGGATTCAGAAGCAGTTGGGTTACATGATTGCTCCGTGGCCTATATGATTGCAGTGATATTTGGCTTGCATGTGTAGTGCATGTAAAATATATATATATATATACATATGGTCTATGATGATGGAAGATTTTTAGAGACATAGAAGGCTTCATCAATCCACAGAAATAACAGTGTTTCAGCAAATGATCTGTTCTTGTGTTGATGTTATCTCGCAGGCCTCATCTGAGACATTTACTGATTTATGTAATAGAATCTGTAAGATGCACTTTTAGCCTTTCCTTTCAAAGTTCCAAGGCCAAGAAACCTAGTCTGAAGAATTGTTCCAGCGCAATCATTTCATCAGTGACAAAGCTGTCATTTTTGGATCATATACTTGGTGTGTTCTTCTTTTGCTATGGATGCAAAACTGACAAAAGGACATCAGAATTTTCTATCTTGTAAATTTGAGTACAAGGAGATCAGACTGAACTAGTCATAGGTCCTGCCATTAGTGTCAAAGCAGCCATTGGATCAGTTGCAGAGCTACCATTCCAAGACCCCCTGAGCTGATCTCATACTGATGCCGGCAGTCTCACTTGGTAGGGATATGATCCCATTATCTTTTCTAGTTTGAGGAGCAAGCAGGGTTGCCAAAATAAGCTTCAAGGACAGGGTGGAGAGATCTTGGATCTATTCTGTCATGAGTCCCAGTAGATTATTGTCAGAGGAAGACAGTAGAGAAACTCCAGCTTTCAGGTCCATCCTAAGAAGCTATGGCTAATGGCTCCTAAAAATGAGACACAAAGCCAAAGCATTAGATGATTTATAGCAAATGTTCAATGTAATCTAGTTAGAAAAAAGGCTCTCCTTCTCTATCCTCTGAAAGGAATACAGCAATTCTGAAAAATATGTTTGTTTACATTGTCAGATTAAGCTTGAAGTAGGTGATAAAATGTTGATTACCAATAGAAAGGCATGATCCAAACATGAGGTTTGCAGCTAACATCACAACATATGATCAGATAAACCACAGATAGGCAATTCCTAAATACAATGATAGCATTCATTTCCTTTTCTTCCTTCAATACATGCAAAATTGATCTTGTACATGCATCATCAAAATCTTGGTACAGCATTTTCAGAGATAATCTATCTTAGTCTGTATCATGAAGAATGAGTGTTCATTTCTCCAATCATAGCAAACCATATAGCATCAAATAGAAATAAGCAATTCTTATGTGGTACATGGGCAACCATTATGTTGAAACGCAACAATCTTGACAAAGAGGATTGTTTCAGAAGTCAGTCCAACTAATAAGTAAAGCCCATGAAGCCTGGATAACATATTTGTATGAGCTAAGATGAGAATGATGATTGGAAGGTGCAATAGGCTACACTTTTGTGTTCGGTTTGGCATTGTCTTGCACAGCTAAGATGTATTCTTTCGGTATCTGAGTTCACTCTCTGTTCTGATCTGTGTACCAATAATTGTGCAGCCAGTGCTGTGTCCTTTACTAAATCATCGCCTCTGCACGGAGTACACGGCTTGCTGGAGAATCATGTGCAGCTTCTCCGATGGTACAAACTGACACCATCGGAATTCAGCTCATCAACGACTTCATCCGAGACTAGGTTTCGATTACAAGACTGAAACAGAGCTAAAACCAAGCCAAATGTTTGCTTCTCCGTCAAACGTGAATGGAAGACAAGGAGGAAGCTCGAAAGCAGGGGATGGATCACATGGAGGCGACCCGCGTACGCTGCAGAGGCGAGGGTGACGTGACGTCCCGGCCATGGAATGGAACTACCGAGGTGATGATGGTAAGTAATCGACGCACTCGAACAGTGCCGCTCTCCTTTCACCAAAGGCGAGATAAAAGAAGGCCCGAAGAGGACCATATCCGATAAAAGCAGCGGTGCAAAGATGAGAACGGTCAAAGCGTGCAGTACCGCCTGCGTTGCCGTATTCCATTTCTCCTGCCCTGTAAAGGGGGGCAAAGTGCTTTGGTGATTGGGATGTGTTCTTCGAGGGGCACGCAGCAGCAGCGCCCACTTTAATCCTTGTGCGTGAGCTGACGCCACTGACATCCCCAGCTTTTCCTTTTCTCCTTTTCGCAGTGGTGGATCCTCACTCGCATGCCATGCATGCATGCATGCGTCCGGTATCTGTTTCCTCTTCGCTGCTCACATCCTTTTTCCTTTCTTTTATGGAACCCTTGTCTTCTCAATTCAATCCCTTCCTCTTTTCTCCTTGCAATCTCGTCCTCCATTAAATCTGATAGGATCCGATGATTTAAACTACGATAAATGCAGCCGTATCAAGATATGGAACTCAAATAAATCAACATGTACTGCATCACCATGGATTGTCTCCGTTCTTTACGTCAAAATGACTTGTAATGCTCTGGATTAAGATCACTTTTTCCAAGGCTTGGGAGAGAGAGAGAGAGAGATGAAATGTGATCTTGGAAATCACAGACACAGGCTCGAGTGGTAGCTCTTGTTCACGAGGCCCCCCATAATGCTCGTCCAGTGCTGTTAAAAGCAACGTCAAAACCCTGGCACTGAATCAAAAGTGTGTAGTGTTACTTTCACGGAAAAGAAAAGAAGAGAGAGCGCTCCGTGGTCTTTACTTCCATGCCAATTTTCCACCTACCACCTCTACTAAATCCAAGCAAGACATCAACTTCTTCTCTCACCTGCAGAAGAGTTCCTCCACCCCATTAATCTTCGTAATCTTACAGGTTTTAGTTAGTTACACCATATCAGCAATGATGGCTATTATGGCGCTTCGATGATCGTAAACATGAATATATATCCGTATATGAAAGAAATGCATGTGGTTGTATATTCATATTTAATTCGCGTCACTCGTCTCTTTCCTCGCGCATGCTTTCGAAGCGGGTCTTCACCTCATCTAATCGACGGACATTCTCTGCTGTCGCTGCCTCGATCCTGAAGCCCATATCCTCCTCACTTTGTTTCTTTATCCAGCACTGCGCTCTAGACCAGAGCCAGGGGCCACTGAGAGCAAGAGAAAGCACCAGGAAAAGAGCTCTTGCTCATGGAGTCGTGTTCGCGAGCACAGCAGAAGGGGGAAGCTTTGCTTTTGGCGACGGATGGGATCTGAGTTATTATAACGCCATCCGGCGAGTTCGAAGCGTGGAGGAGGCCTTATAAAAATACGAGAAGAAAGGATTCGGAAGGAAGAGAAGCGCCCGCCCTCCCTCTCCTCCTCTTTCCTCAGCAGCAGCAGCAGCGGAGGATAAGAGTTCTCATCTCGGCATCCCTTAGCAGAGATCGTAGACACCAGGTTTGCTTCTTGTCGCTCTTGCACTCCTTTCTCTTTCTGGGTGTTTTTGGCTCGATGCTTAGTTTTGAGCTTCGTCTTAGTCTCTAAGTTTCTCTCTAGTACTTGGTCTCAGCATCTGGGATCTTGGCTTAAACGACAAGATCTTGGTCTGCAGCTCGACTGTAGCCATGGTGCGAGAACATGGAGATATTTATTGTTGCTTCAAGTGTGTCCACCTTAGAGCCATTTTTCTTCGTAGAAGAATAGTCATTTTGGCAGAGCCACTGTGATCTGTTTCACTTTTGGTTCCCCACTGCCACACCTCACTCTTCTTCATGTCCCTCGCTCACTCTTCCTCGGGTGTTTCAAGGGAATAAAGAGAGCGGAGAGTACCAAATGGCCCTTCCTTTTCCCTTCCTTTTAGCAGTAGCGCAAAGCAAAAGGTTCTCTGGGGGTAAGCAGACATCGCTCTCTCTATACCTCCATGGCCATCTCATGATTGCCCTTGCCGCTCTGTAGCTCTCCCTCGCTGCCAACGTGAAAGTCCATTCGCTGCCAGTCTGTGTTGCGTGTGAGCATGGAGGTATCGGGAGTCATCTCGTCGAACCATCATTCACGCTCCATCTTCTTAGCCCGAGGTTATCCACAGTCACTTGGCAGCTACCTTCTGCGTTTCCTTTCCTTTGCTGACCGCACAGAACTCCTTTTGATGATTGGTTCTTTTCGATCCGGCGAATCTTGTTTGCTCTTTCGGGGGGCCTCAGCGGCCGCGGACGTAGCTGTCTTAGAAGTAGCTCGAAAGGAATTGTAATGGTCGGCACGGCTGGTAGTGCGAGGTGCCGCTCACGGCCGCCTTTTAATGCTCTCCATCTCTTTCTCTACATCGATCACATCAAGTCCTATGAAATCTAGCCTGACAGCTACTAACGTATTAGATATCAGAATCCACAAACCTCTCCTCCACTTGGCTCGCCAATCGAGGCTACCATAAAGCATCGAGTCCAAATCCTCGAAGCTGAAGCTGAAGCTGCATAAGGAGATTTAATCGAGTTTAGTCGACTGCCTGCTTGCAGTGAGAACCGGCGTTAAAATAGCTCGCTTGTGCACTGTAGAGACTCCATGGCTACAGCACCTACATCTGCTGCTATCGATGGGGCAATGGGGGACGACTGCCGAACGCGACGCTTTGTCCTTCGGGCATTTAGGAACGCTCTTCTCTCCTCCTCCACTGTGCTCCTTGTAGCCCAAAAATCCAAAGCCCATCACGTAACGACATCGCTGCGGTGTTCTGCTACCATCCCCATCGAGCCCGACACCAAGACTGCGACGAATCCATCCCAATGTGCTCTTTCTCCTACCCACCATCATTAAATTACTAGTTTGTGAGGTTGCAAGTTCTGGCCGTTCCAGCAATGGTGCTTTGTTTGATCTGTAGACAAACCTGTAATGCTTCGACCGAGGCCTCCTATGCAAACAGTGATGGAATATGGGAGGAGGGGTTACCATGTTCTTCTTTCTGTTTGACTCTGCACCTCGTGGCAGCCGCTACTGGCAACGTATCTGCTGCGTTTGAATCATCCTCTCCTCCTGCTTCCCAAATTAGACTGAGCCCCTGCTCCTAGGTTGGCCCATGCCGCCTAGAGAGTCAAAGAAGCCTCACGAACTGTAGAACTGCACTTCTGCAGAAGATATTAATGCATCGGTTTATCCCTCATCTGCTGCTGCTATCACTGCAAAACCTTTACTATATGCGCTTCTTTAAACTCTCTGCTGCTCTGCTCATCCTTGCCTCCCACTGTCTCTGTTCTGCTATGCCCAGGGGATAGATAATGCATGTGGATCCGTAGGGGCGCGCGATGCTAGCTGATGTAGGTAGAGAAGGCGCCTGTGTCCGTTCTTCGTCATCCCCTCGCGCCGCCGCGATGCCCAGCCGGCAGATGACGAAGGAGCTCAAGGGGGTGAAGCCCATCGTCTCGAAGAAGCAGTCTCTCAACAACAGCATGAACCAGCAGAAGCTCGAGAACGGGTGCCTGCCGCATGACATTAAGAATGTTAGACGCCGACGAGGAAGAGGGAGGAGGAAGGCGGTGGAGCGAGAGGTGAAGCAGGAAGTGGAAGTCGGACCAGAAACCGTTGCTCCTCCGGTCTCCAGTAAAGGAGTCGTCTTCTGCCGGCGGCCAGGATTTGGACAGGCGGGCACCAGGTGCATTGTCAAGGCCAATCATTTCCTTGCAGAGTTGCCCGATAAGGACTTGAATCAATATGATGTAAGTCTACTATTCACAGCATCAGCGATTTTTTAGTGCCCCGGCATCCCTGAAGTTGTTACCTTTGATCATTTGCAGGTGACGATTACGCCGGAAGTGAGCTCTCGGAGTATAAACAGAGCTATCATAGCAGAATTTGTAAGGCTGTACAGGGAGACCGACTTGGGTATGAGGCTTCCTGCTTATGATGGGAGGAAGAGCCTTTATACGGCTGGGTCTTTGCCTTTCACTTCAAAGGAGTTCACTATAAAGCTTTTGGAGGAGGATGGAGGGATTACTAGGTTAATTGCTGCCCCTTTCTCTTGTTTCTTCATGCCCTTTGTGTCATTTTCCCGCATTGTGGCGGCTCTTTACTTAATCCAATTTTGTTGTGAAGAGAAAAGGAGTATAGAGTTGGGATCAAGTTTGTAGCTCATGCTGACCTTCACCATTTGCGTCAGTTTATTGCTGGACGGCAGACTGATGCTCCGCGACAAGCCCTTCAGGTTCTTGATATTGTTCTAAGGGAGTTATCAAGCCAAAGGTACCATTTCTTTTGAGAATTACGTGTTACTTTTAATGTGTACACCTTGTGATTGCTGAAAATACTATCTTGTAGGTACATATCCGTCGGAAGATGCTTCTATTCTCCAGATATCAGAAAACCACAAAGGCTGGGTGATGGCTTGCAGTCATGGTGTGGCTTCTACCAGAGTATTAGACCAACACAGATGGGCCTCTCGCTCAACATCGGTATGTATTTCTTGCTCACGATATGATTCTTTCTTTTTCTTTTTGTTCTTTCTAATGGATTGGTTTATATCGGATATCAGATATGTCGTGCACCGCATTCATCGATCCTCTTCCGGTGGTCGAGTTTGTTGCTCAGATACTAGGGAAAGATGTATCATCTAGGCCATTATCGGATGCTGATCGTATAAAGGTATACTTCCAGAATAATTCCAGAATATGCACCCAACATTTTATCATCTTCAAGTTATTTATTTTTAGTCAGGGAATGCTCATCTGAATATAACTTGCAAATTGGCTTGTAAACAATCAAATCGTTTTTAAAGATTTTCTGGCAGAAACTAGAGTGTAATGCCTTTTGGTGATTTTTCGATAAAATTTATATACATATTTAACTAAGAACAGCTCTGCATAATTGGTGATGTCAAGCAGATAAAGAAGGCTTTAAGAGGTGTGAAAGTTGAAATCACTCACAGAGGAAATGTGCGGCGGAAATATCGAGTTTCCGGGCTGACAGCACAACCTACTCGTGAACTAATGTAAGCAGTATAATTCCATATTCTATTTAGTTTGTGCACTTACCATTTCTACTAGAATGTAAATGACTACTGTTAGTGAGCCATATAGTCTCAAGCAAAAGAATTTCTCGGAAATGCCTATTTTTATAACACATGATACACATTTTACTCGATAGTAAAACTTTGAGAAATTCTTGACATGGGCATGTGCCACACATGTGAGATCATGTTCACCTTTACTGTGTACACATGAAAACTAGCCTTCTGGTAATTTATTTGAATGTGATTTATTTCAATTAATACATGCAAAGTTGCCATGAAAATTGGTGCATAATCTTTCAAAAAGTTCCTTGCCGTGATTATTATATAATTGTAATTGAAATCCTTCTATTTGCTTTTAGAGTTCTGACTCTGCTATTTCAACAGTTTCCCAATTGATGATCAGATGAATATGAAATCGGTGGTTGAATACTTCAAGGAAATGTATGGGTTTACAATTCAGTATTCTCATCTTCCTTGCCTTCAAGTAGGAAATCAAAAGAAGGCAAATTATCTTCCGATGGAGGTGAGTGCAATCAGTCATAGCAGAGTCTATCAACCAAAATTTTAGATCTGATTTTATTCATAATATGCAGGCTTGTAAGATAGTTGAGGGTCAGAGGTACACAAAGAGGTTGAATGAAAAGCAAATTACTTCCTTGCTAAAAGTTACATGCCAGAGACCCAGAGAACAAGAAATTGATGTTTTGCAGGTTAGTATATGTGATGGTATCATGGTAAAATCCACTTCTATTGTGAACATTATGCTGGGGATTAACTTCTGGGCCTTAAAGAGGACTTCATATAATCTCCTCTAAATTGTTTTAACTATCAAATGTCATCCATCATTGCTACAAGAACATTTTCTAATACTTGGTTGGGATTATATGGGAAGCATATATGTATATGGAGTTTTCAAACTACACTAGTAACCACCAGTAAAAAGTTTAAATAGGATTCTTGCACTGACCATTCACAAGTGTAAAAGAACTAGTTGAGTGCCGAAACATTTGGTTTCAAAAGATCAGTTCATAACTGTTCCCATTCTGGTGCAAACTGATCATGCTGGCCGAGATGTGACTTTTGCTTAAGCCAGAAATCTCTCACATTTGTGAGTCAAGTTACCATTATGCTGGGCTTTGATTACTTATGACTATTTGTTTATATGCTTATGACCATTTTAAAAATATGTGCTCTTCTTTTAAACTATTGTTATGTTCTGTTTCCTTTGGTCGATATCAAACACAAAATGTTACTCAAATTGTTATGAATCTTTGCCCTTCATCTACAGACAGTTCGTCAAAATGCTTATGGACATGATCCTTATGCGAAGGAATTTGGAATCAACATTAGTGACAAGCTAACCTCAGTGGAAGCTCGAGTACTTCCTGCTCCATGGGTAATATATTGCTTCAACTACTTGATGGAATTGAATGGCTATTATCATTTTTTCTTCTTGTGCAATCAATTGTCCATGACAACATATTGATTTGTGCAATGTGCATTATGAAGCTGAAATACCATGACACCGGAAAAGAAAAAGAGTGTCTGCCTCAAGTTGGTCAGTGGAATATGATGAATAAGGTACTTGTCCAATTTAAACGTCATTGTGGTTATCATCTCCAGATACTTTATGTTTCCAATTATGATCATACCCTTCATGTCCAAAATAGATGTTTAGCCCCCATCAAGGTGAGAGTCCACTGGACAGTTTGATTTGGAAGGTTCTAATTGAAAGCAATATTGGAGAAAATCCTCACCCTTGAACTCTAGAATAAATTTCTCCAACTTCGTTTCCACTAATATCTGTTAAATGAATCAATGCAGAAAGTGATCAATGGATGCACAGTAAATTACTGGGCCTGTATTAACTTCTCTCGAAGCGTTCAGGAAAATACCGCTCATAGTTTTTGTCAGGAGCTAGCACAGATGTGCCAAGTATCTGGAATGGTAAGGTTTCATTTTTCAATTTATTATTTTACTTTATAATTTAAATATCTTAAGTGGATGTAAACCAAAGAATAGTTTGGCCAAGTATCTTATGTGTATTATGTAATTAATCTTGAGACAGTTAACACTTTTTGAAATGGTCAAGGGAATGTGGACGCAATTCTCATGGTTCATACTCCTCAGGAATTCAACCGTGAACCAGTTATCCCAATATATTCTGCAAGGCCTGACCAAGTTGAGAAGGCTCTAAGACATGTATATAATGTCGCAACCAACAAGCTCAAAGGAAAAGAGCTTGAGCTTCTTGTAGCCATCCTTCCTGATAACAATGGTTCTTTATATGGTATGTATCCAAGCCTTCTCATCCATTGGCTCCAACCTTTTTTTGCCTATTGCTTAAATATGGTACAGTAATGATGGTTGTTCTTCTATAGGTGATCTTAAACGGATATGTGAAACTGATTTGGGGTTGATATCTCAGTGCTGCCTAACAAAACATGTGTTCAAAGTCAGCAAACAGTACCTTGCAAATGTCTCACTCAAAATTAATGTCAAGGTGCCTTTAAAGCTTCTTGTCATCTTCATTAACAGACTGCCTGAAACCCTTGAGTACATTTTCAAACACCTTATGGATATGATATACCTTATGTCGATTGCAGATGGGAGGAAGAAATACTGTGCTCTTGGATGCTATAAGTTGGAGAATTCCATTAGTCAGTGATATACCGACCATTATATTTGGAGCAGATGTGACACATCCAGAGACTGGAGAAGATTCTAGTCCATCTATTGCTGCCGTAATTAAAATTATAATACTTTGTTTAAGTTTGCCTGCATATTTCTGCAGTTAGTGATATGCATTAATAAAATTTTGTTTTGATTTCAGGTTGTTGCCTCTCAAGATTGGCCTGAAGTTACAAAATATGCTGGACTAGTTTGTGCTCAGGCTCATCGACAAGAACTCATTCAGGATCTATTCAAGACATGGCATGACCCTCAACGTGGCACAGTTACAGGAGGCATGATCAGGTTTGTATCTATTTCATGACAAGGTGACTGCCCTGTCACTAGTTTTCCTACTAAGGTAGTTGGCTGTCTCTGTGGCTGCAGTTATAACTATCTATTCAGGAGTGAAGACTTTATAACCACAGTTATTAATAGGAACGCTGTCAGTTTTTAGGAATTTAAACCAATATAACATATTCCAGTGCTATTAGTCTGACTTTTAAATATGATGGCAATATCTCATATCATAAATTAAACACGCTATAAAAGTATTTGCTCAAAGCTCATGCATTAAAGCATATCTTTTTAAATATTGCAGACAAGGTTTTTCGATATGGGTCTGATACTGCTTTTGGGTATCACTGAAAGAAATATAAAAAATTAAATACTGATTATCATCAACCTATATAGTCCAGTGTCAGTCCTTGTTCGGACTGGTAAGGCTGGTTAGTATGAACCCATTTGACCAATTTGAAGCTCTGAACTCAGGAACAGGAAGCAAGCTAGATATCTATGTTATTGATGCTATAACAGTCAATTTTCTTGTACTTCTATTTAGTCACATACATGACTTTCAAAAAAATTTTATCTATCGATATCTAAATTTCATTTAATGCAATTTTGTAGGGAGCTTCTAATATCTTTCAGGAAGGCAACAGGACAAAAACCATTAAGGATTATCTTCTACAGGTAGTACATCTTGTGTCTATCTTATAGGGAATGCTCACAGTTAATTATCTCTTTTTCAGAAGTTAATCAAATTGTTCTCAGCAAACATTTTTTTAGTAATATAAAATATTTTAGGTACTATATAGTAGAATTGGTTTTCTCATATTGATTCTTTCTCACTTTGCAGGGATGGTGTCAGCGAAGGACAGTTTTATCAAGTCTTGCTATACGAACTCGATGCCATTCGCAAGGTTAATAAGATCCAAAGTGTTTAAGCTAAACATATCCCTCAGAATACTGCTGCTTATTAATTCAGTTTTGCAGGCATGTGCATCTTTAGAACCAAATTACCAGCCTCCTGTGACCTTTGTGGTGGTTCAAAAACGCCACCATACAAGGTTATTCGCAAACAACCACAAAGACAGAAGTAGCACAGACAAGAGTGGTAATATCCTACCTGGTAAGGACTGTCTTCTCCATTATTACTGAACCATGATTGTTGATAGAGATATGAATTTAGTAGGTTGCCAAGGAAAAAATAGCGATATTGGTAATAGTAATTGCATTCTTTAGGGCTAGATTACTGATGGTCTGATGTGGCAGGCACCGTGGTTGACTCTAAAATTTGTCATCCTTCTGAATTTGACTTCTACTTGTGCAGTCATGCTGGAATACAGGTAGGAAAATGCCAGAAGTTTGTCATACTATAGTTATTAAGCTTTATAATCTTTCCAAGTCTTTTGATTATGAAAATGATGCATTGGATGTATAAGCGACTCGGCAAGCTAATGCTAAGAAGATTTTATCTTGCAAACCTTTTCAGTAGAAGATGTGTTTGGTGAAAGCACACAATCTTGTTGGATATTATTAAAATTTAATGTTGTTAGGACAACAATAATCTAAATCATCATAGAGATGATGAAAAAAAAGTCTGTTCTCACCATAACAATTTCTTACGTGTTCTATTTTGGTAGGGTACTAGCCGACCAGCGCGTTACCATGTTCTGTGGGATGAGAACAATTTCTCGGCAGATGAGATGCAGACACTAACAAACAATCTCTGTTATACGTAAAGACATTCAGATAAAATTTTGTTTTGTGATTTATTTTAAATAATTCGCCTAATTTACTGGGAATAATATGTAATTTGCAGGTATGCTCGATGCACCCGCTCTGTCTCTATCGGTATGTCTTACTCATACTGCTTATTGTCCTAAGACAGTAACATAACTAGATGTAATATCTTAATCTTTGCATTACAGTTGAAGGTTACTTTTCTGTTCCCTCATTCTTATTTTATGTTCTTATAGAATTCCCATCAAGTTAAGAGAAATTTTGATTGGTTTTCTGTTGCTTGAGTTGAAAATTTTCAACTCTCAACTAGATAAGGTCTTTAACTGCCTCTGTACTTGAAAGTTCATATCAGATTGGCTGCTAACCATGAAATATTTGTTGATCCTACATAGGGCCTTCTTAATCTTGTCTGGTGTCTTACCATAGCAGCACAATAGTCCATTATCAGATTCGTGTTCCTACGTGCAGATTAATTGATGTTCAACAAGCAAACTGCAACACAAATGCATCTTCATTCTCAGCACCTACGAATCGAAATAGACCAAGAAAAACATGTCTTCTTATGCATTTGACAATGAAGCATGACGCTTTACTTTTCTATCGATGATGACAACACTAACCAATCTCTATCATTTGCTTTTCTATCGATGATGATGGAACAGTGCCACCTGCATATTATGCTCATCTGGCTGCCTTTCGTGCCCGGTTCTACATGGATCCAGCGGTATCGGAGAATTCAACATCACGAAGCGTGTGCCAGGGGAACGATTCCCCTGTGAAGCCCCTGCCTGCTTTGAAAGAGAAAGTTAAGAGGGTGATGTTCTACTGCTGAGAGAAATGGTGAAGATATCACTTTGTAAATCCAAGTTGTATTTATAGTGTAGAGACTTGCTGATGATATCCCTATATAAGCCATGAATTTGTGCAAGGAAATGCTGTATACTACTTGTCAGTCAGTCAGAAATGTAATACATGTGTGATATATCCCAATCCGATCTTTCCATTGGTTATATGTTTTGTGTTTAGATTCAAATTTTAGCTTTGATTCAGGTTTTTTATATCAGGCATCAAACCATGCTATTATATATTGATCTATTATCGTCAGATCTCTGAGGAGACTGCTTTAGTTTTCGTTGGCAGATTTTGGACTCCCATGTTTTCGTTGCCAAAATCAAGAGAACACGCAACAAAGCGTCAAGCACTGAAGGGGTGGCTCCCGCGATTCTTGTTGTAAGGTTGTTTTTGTTTCCGGAAACAAGAAAACACACAGCAAGGTTCTTATTCCCCGATCTCGTGTGTGGCATCGCATCAGCTTCGCCTCCTCTACTCTTCGCTGAGCACTGCGATAGCGAGTTCGTGGTCGCGGGCGCTGACGCAGATCTCGCCCTACACCTTCGCCTCCGTCGGCATCGCCATCTCCATCGGCGTCTCGGTCCTCGGGGCCGCCTGGTGAGACGACGATCAAAACCCTCCCTTTTACCCGCTTTCATTTCCAGATGTTATCGTGTATTCTCTGTTTTGATTACTTCAGGGGGATTTATATCACCGGGAGCAGCTTGATTGGTGCCGCGATCAAAGCCCCCAGAATCACCTCGAAAAATCTCATTAGGTATGCGCTATTGCTCTTCAATCATTCATGATGTATGTTGAACCGAAGGTTTCCATGGTGACTCAATTTTCCCTGCTCGGTTTAAGATTTGGGTTTTGATTGTTAGCAGAAATCGTTTTACTTTTCTATCGATGACCATAAATCTAGATTTTATCTTCAAAAAGTTGTGAATTTTCAGGAATTCCTTTACAGCCCAAATAAGCAACAGTAAGAGATTATATTAAATGAGTCTATAATTCTGTATTTCATGGAAAATCCACTGGTACTCTATACTTGCATCAAACCAAAAAAAAAAAAGACTTTGTTGTGAGATGCTTACTAGAATACCACATGAAAAGTAAGGTCTCCGAACCTGCGTAACAGATGATCAACCTGTTGTGAAAGTTGTGTGTGATTGCACTTTTCTATACTTTGGAAGATATCCCAGCCTAATCTTCCCATTGAATTATGAATGCTACTTATGCCAATTGACTCCTTGAACTTCGGCTAATGTCTCAATGAAGTCCTGTTATTAGCTTTACCGTAAACCATGATAGTAGGCAGACCTAGCGGCACAGAAGGATTTCACATACTAATTTGAAATAATTATTAACAAAAAAACAATATTTGACATCACCATCTGGTTGGCAAATCAAGATCAGTCAAGTTTAACATGCTTGAATTTTTTTAAGAAACTACATTGAGCATGCTTGATAAACTTTCTTGCTTACATTTATACTTGGTAAGCCATTGTGTTTCCATTTATCATGGTCAATCCTTTAAAGGTCTATATGACATACCAGCAGGGTAGATTAGTACGATACTGTGTTTGGATGCACCAATCAGAGAATTGGTTTTGTATACTGTCTAAAGTTACATGGTCAAACCTGTATGTGCCAGTACTGGTCCATTGTCTGGATCCATTTTTTTAAGGTTAAGGTTTTTGTACATCTGGAGTTTTTCTTTTAGGCTTTTCTTATAGTTGATAAGGAGCTTTTTGTGAACATGTTTCCAATCTGTCATGCACGTTTTAGGTCTGATCTTTTGTGCATGTGTCCTGGAAGTGGAAATATTCACAGCTAATATTAAACTTTTTCTGTTTATTAATTTTCATCAGCATAGATATGCATAGACAGTTGGAACTATCATTTCCATTTAACAGTTCCTCCATGCCTTTATTTATCATATTCCTTTGGTATGACTGTCATGATTAACCTTTTTTGCATTTGAGGCTCTCTAGTAGTGTTGATATGAATACATGGCATTTTCAGTGTTATCTTCTGTGAGGCTGTTGCTATATATGGAGTTATCGTTGCAATTATCCTACAAACGAAGTTGGAAAGTGTGCCAGCATCGAAAATATATGATCCAGAGTCTCTAAGAGCAGGATATGCAATTTTTGCTTCTGGGATTATTGTGGGTTTTGCAAATCTGATGTGTGGGTATGTTATACATCATTCAATTATATCCATGTGGTGTACAGAAAGGAGAAATCAGAAACTTCTTCAACTGATAAACATGTTTTCCTTGAACAGGCTTTGTGTAGGAATAATTGGAAGCAGTTGTGCTCTATCCGATGCTCAAAATTCAACACTTTTTGTGAAGATTCTGGTCATTGAAATATTTGGCAGTGCACTTGGGTTATTCGGCGTGATTGTTGGAATTATTATGTCATCGCAAGCAACATGGCCAGCAAAAACAACATGAGCTGTTTTCGTCAGGGCCAATGAGCTTCATTTGTTCCCTGAAAGATCAAATCTGTGCAGTATATCTCAATCATGATCAGCACTCACAACTTTCTTCATCAGAGGTACACTTAATTCCTCGGAAATTACTTCTACTTTGCTTTCTGCCATCATATTTAGTCCAGGATCTGCTTTTGTGAACTGGCATGTATTATTGCACACAGGTTTTTCTTTTCCCCTTTTTATGTTCATCTAAGATAAACAATTGACACGGCAGAATCCCCTGTTTACATCTCATTCTGAATGCATGGAACTTACATCAGCTCCATATCTTGTTTGAGATCATCCTCTTTTTGCAAGTTTGTGCTGTACAAGTAAACAAGGTAGCATATCATCTGGTTTAGTTAAGAATAACTATTTGATTTCAGTAACTCGGTCATCTCAAAGACAATTTTTATTCTATTTTATCAAAATTTTTAAGATTACGATTCAATCTTCTTTTTTTCATTTGAGCATCAAAGAGAAATTGTGTCATCTCAACATAACTTAGAGCAGTTCAGCTCAAGTTGGTAATATCCTTCTTCTATTATACTGTTTAGCTTAGTAAAAGGGTTCGACAGGCTCTGAGTCCTGTTTGATGAAATGATCAAATCTGGCCTATTACAAAGAACACTGTTTCCGTCATTGATGAGCAAAGAATTCAGCCGAACTTGCCAGTTTTGTGCTGTCCTTTGCTGGGCGGAAACATCATCAGCCCCACATTTGGACATATTACTCTCGTCATTGATGAGGGAAGACCTCTCGAGTGCAGCCAATCTATACAAATCTTGTTAGGAATGACACTGACAGATTGCTTCTCTCGGCTGCAGATCTCTATATCCATCCCTCAGCTGAAGTTGCAGTTTCGTTTCATCTTCTGCGAGTTCCATTCCGTTCCTCCTTTGATCTCCACAATCCCGGCCGAGCAGCAATCAGACGCCTCATTTCGTCTTGGTTCCCTTCTTTGCCCAAGGTCACATGATCTCCATGCCCCGTCTTCTCGCTGGCTTGCAGATTCGGCTCGACGAGCTCAGTTTCCCCTGCGCTGACGCTGGATTGCCGAAGGGCTGCGAGAACTTGGACCTCCTCCCGTCGGCAGAACTCATGCTCAACTTCTTTGCAGGGTTGAGCATGCTGCGAGAAACCCTTGTCGCACTACCTCCGTGGGCAGTGGCCGAAGCCAAGCTGCATCATCTCCGATTCATTAATGATGCATCCCGTGGACGAGGGACGTGGCTCACGAGCTGCGAGTGCCTCGTTTGGTGTTCCATGGGCCCTTCTGCTTCTTCCTCATGTGCAGTCATAACGTGAGTAAGCACAAGTCCGGTGAGCAGTCCGCTGACCTATTCGAACCTTTGCTCGTGCGCGACCTGCCTCACAAGGTGGAGGTGGTAAGAGACCAGTCTTTGAAGTTCTTTAGCTATCCAGGATGGGAGAAGCTTCATGACGAGGCGATGGAAGCCGATGGGTTGGTGATGAATAGCTTTCATGAACTGGAGGCTTCCTACATCGACAGCTACCAGGCGGCGCTCGACAAGAAGGCTTCCTGCTATAACTTTCATCGGCTGCCTGTTAGTTCTTGAGTTGAGTGGGGTTCGGTCCCTGTTGAGTTGGGCTTTGGGCCGGAGTCATGTATCTCACCGGCTTCCCTACGTAGCTCGGCCCAACAGGCTCAGATTTCTCCGAGCCCATATATATATATATATATATATAATATATTATAGTAGAAAACACATACCGATTTGTTTGGGGGTTTAAACGCAAAAAAGAATCGCACGAACATTCTAAGAGGCGAGAGATAAACTCGGAAGAAGCAGCCGGCGGACGCGGAGGGGGATATGTGGTCACTGACGGCGAAGTTCCAAGGAGGCAGAGGACAGGGGATGCCGCACGACTATTTGTAGCGCATTCACGATCTCCAGCTCCAGATTCTGCAGAAGACCAACAAACTTCTGCGCCTTGAAGCATCCCGATGCCTGAGGTACATGCCCCCATTCTAAAACCCTAACCCTAGAATTGCTTTCTTGGGCGTTTGTTCTTCGCGTGCTCGGCGTCCTATTCATTTATCGTGTTTGGGCGGTGTCATAGTTTGTTTTATGGAATGTTGAATGTTAAAGCAAGGAAGATAAGATTTAAATTCCAATGCCATCTTTTGTTCATGGCGACGGCTTATGTGGGTTGTGGTTGCGGTAAGGATGCTCCGAGAGGAACTGCAGGTTCTTCAGGAGCCTTCTGCCTATGCCGATGAGGTGGTGAAAGTTACGGGGATACCAGAGAAGAAGGGATGGAAGGCGGGGGACGGGTATCGAAGGCATGAGAAATCAAGGAACAAGGCCAGAAGGTTGTTATCTACCTGTTGCACAAGTTGATATATGATTTATGCACATGTTTAGTCTCTATTTTCAAAATACATTTGTAAGCATCGGGGTTCTTTTAGTACAGAAAATTGATCAAGCACTTCTTCTGCTGATATCAGTGATGTTGGAGAGTAAATCTGAAACCGAGTCTTATAGTTATAGCATCTATGATGATGATGGAAATTGCAAACGACAAGGATGAAAGTCTCAAGGCCTTTTTTTTCTGGTAGCTCTAATTTCTTAACTTTAAAGTTTCTTTAGTGCTTCCAATGAATCCATGTAGTTGCTTGTTAAGATCATGAAATGAAAATAATAAAAATGAAAATTTTATGTATATAGTAGACTTTCCCTCTTCCGTAATTGTCAATAGAAGTTGGAGGCTAGTTATTCATTAAAGAAGCAAAACACATGGTTGAGTTATTTCTTATATTTGACTTATGTGCTGTTTTATCCAATCCGAACATGTATTCTCTGTGTTTGTGGATCATATGCTGCTATTGTTGCTATTAATTTTATTTTATTGCCTTCTTTAACGCTCTTGAGATATTGCTGGGATTTCGCCACACCCTTAACTTGAAGCTTCGGCAGAAGCCCATCTAGAAAAAATTAGAAGTCCCGTTGGAAAATTGTTAGCAAAGCTCCAGCTGATCAGAATAGGGGAAGTAAAAAAGCAGAAGCCCTGTTAAAGTTCATAGTAGAAGCAAGTCAAATCTCAACAAGGTCCTTACAGCAGAGAATCCAAATGAGAACATGGTGATATCATGCTCTAATACGTTTTTGAGCCAAGTTAGAAAACCTTGATACGGTTGTGTTTGTGCCTGAAGATCAATAATTTCCAGTTAACACATGACCTGCTAATCATGATGTTGTTCATTTATAGCAACTTTTATCTTTAAGGATGATTATTTATCACTTACATCTCAATGTTGAAACAACTGTAGTCACCATCATGGAGATTCTTAAAAACAGTGGTTTTGCAATGAGTAGAGTAAGAATTTTTTATTCTGTTATTTATCCTGTTAGATAATACTACCACATTGTTGGACTCAATTGCGAAAAAATAAATCAGAGATATTGACATCTATTGTTGATGTGAAGAACGAATCAAGAGGGTGATCAATGCAAAAGGCCAAGGTATGATGTTAACTACTGATTTAAGCCTGAGGTATGGTGTCACGGTAAGGTTACTCTTTCACGACTTAAGTACTTATAGTAACTGATAGCTGCAGCAACGGATGAAGACACTACGGATGGTGAGGAGCAGACCTGCAAGAACAAATTCTCACTTTTGTGTTTTGTGCTCATTTGAGATACTAAAGAGACTGTAGTTCCAGTTGGAACAGAATTTGTCAATTAGAACCCATTTCAATGGTCTTTTTAAACTGGTTTCTCTTATCACATTATGGAAACATATTGTTTACAATATGGAATTCTGCTTGCTGAATTTATTTGGCAGGGACTGATTATGGATTTATATGGAATTTATATGTAGAAAACATTTTGCTGAATTTATATGGAATTCTCAGACCATTAGGACTGATTGTGGATTTATATGGAATTTATATGTAGAAAACATATTGCTGAATTTATATGGAATTCTCAGTCCATTATTGAAACATATCAGTTCAAGGAAAAGAAGGTGGATGCCTGGTTGTGATGCAACTGGGACTGAATCTTCCAAAACTTGCATTTCTATGGTGCCAAAGCTCATCAAATTCAACATTCCCTTATTCTGATTCCGGTCTTGATTGTCATGCTTCATTATGTGGTTTAAAATTTCATTGTATGGACAAAGTTTGAGCCAGTTTAAAGTTTGATTCTACATCAATAGTTTGTAGTTTGTATATTAGCACTGAAGGGAAATAGCCTAAAATTGTACTTTTGCTGATTGGAGTTTCTCTTTTTTGTTCTTGAACAGGAGTAAACGACAAGTGATCAATATAAACCACATCCTCTATTCTAGTATGGCATTGGAGTCTCTACCTTTGATTTGTAATACACTTTCAATGAAGCTTGATGATTTTATCGACACTGCACCGACATAAATCCACTGGAATTTAGTATTACATGTTGTTGGTGTTTAGTGCAGGCTCTACTCTGGTGCTGTTTTGGAAGCTACTTAGTGTTACAAGTTGTTGAAGCACCTCCTCAGAACACAGTCGTAGCTTGTAAGTGAACTGTTTGCAAGTCATTTTGAAGAATTGCTTGTAAGTGATCAAACAACTCATAAAGAAGTACTGATGTTAATGTATAATGTTCAAAGGATTCTTTTTGGGTGACATGTCATGCCTGTCACATAAAACCTCAAATTCTACTGGTGGGCCTCCTCTTCTGAGAGTCAACATGTGATCTAGATAAAAGGTTTGGCAACTCCCAATACAAAAGCCTTGCCTATATTGTTCCCACCAACTAGTAGTAGATGTGTACGCAATATATCCACTCCCTGTTGCTCCCTCTGACCATATGTCCATAGTTAGCCATATAGGCACACAAAAGGGCATCTTCCTTCACCCTTTTATGGTGTCAATCTCATTAGAAGTCGTTGACTTTTGGTCCATTAACTATATATGACCCTCATCTGCTGTGCAGAAGTCTACCATCTGTCCTAAGCAAATATGTGGTTCACTCAGTCCAACTGGGGTTCAGGGTTCACTCACCCTTAAAGTGGTCCTAACTCATTTGGAATCCTTCATGTGGGTGGAAGCCAATCCAACTAGGTTTTAGGGTTAGGGTTTAGGTTTGTTATTCACAGTTGACTTGAAGTGTATAACATGACCTTTGGGACCTACTGTCAACATTGATTTGACATCCCCTGGTAACTCATGTAGCAACAAGCACCTCAATTTCAATGCCACATTTGATGTTGGAGAAAATTTGAGTCAGTTAATATGGTTAGTAGTATAGCATTTTGGTATGAGTGCTTTATAATCATAATAAAAATAACTTTTAAGTTATTTTTTTAATATTAGAGATCTTCTAGATTGACTTTGAAATGACAGGATTGAGACCTCAATCCTGTTTACAGGAATCTGTAGCACAACATTAGGATATGTGTATGCAAACCAACCTGATCAACTATGTGTGTATGAACTAACTTGAATGTCCTGTGATTAAGAAGAGCAGCCCAGTGAACCAGGATGCCCTATCTCATACATTCCTCTCAGTTCATCATTAAGTTTCTTGCAGAAGCTCATCATCCTCTCCTCTCTGGGGTTGCAGAGAGGTTCCTTTTAATATTGTCCTGGTGTGGCTGTAGGACCTCATGTTTGGACCAATGACCTTTATCACCTGCTCCACATTGAGGGAATATTCAGCCTAGCTGTACTCCTTTTCCACCTCTCATGGCTTGTCTCATGCATGGATACACCATCTCACCAGTGAATGAACATGTTTCACCACAACTAGGGTTTGCAGAGAATTCTCAATTCTTAGCCTACAAGTTGCAAGAACTTGATGTGCTCTACTGATTAATTAGCACTTTTAGCTATGCTTTAAGGTGTCATGTGCTTGCAGATATTTGATGTGTGAAAGAGAAATCCTCCAAGTATCATATCCCCTTTTCCAGTTCCAGAGCATGGGCTGTGAAGAAGAAGCTAGAGAAGGCAGCTTTCGGTCGTGGGGTAGCAAGAGCACTCAACTCTGCCACTGTGCTGTGGATCACTACACAGTCAAACACCCTTTCATCCACGCGAAGGTGCAGCCGCAGCAACGCGTGTTACAAGATTCCTTGTAGGGCGAGGCTGGCTGGGCTTCAAATCTCGCGCGCCTATAAGTAGGCAACCCATCCTCCATGGGAGCCGCAGCATAAGAGAGAACGATCTCCTCCCTCCTCGCTTTCTGAAGCTCTTCTGGACTCGCAGAAACCAACATGGTGTGTGTTAGTAGGTTTAACAGTCTCTCGTCGTGCCATTTTAGCTTCCCTTCTTTGCACCTCATCCCCTTTGATCCATCTCTGCAGGAAGGAAAGATGAGCCCGGCTGTCGCTGATGCAGTTGACTACAAGGGATTCCCAGCTGACAGAAGCGTCACTGGTGGTTGGGTACCTGCCGCTCTCATCCTAGGTTTGTCGTACGACTCCTCAGCTCATACAATAATATGATACGTAATCCGGTGTTTCTTCTTCTCTTTCTCTTATTAAGATTAATGCAAACGGCATCTGTCAGCCAAAATGGTCCAAAGTGCAGTTCTCTGCCTTGGGACCAACTTTGATGGAGACATCTGTGGCTAAATGATGATGAGCCATTCCAAATTCGATAGTAAAGAGTCCAGTAGATACTGAGATCTCTCTATTGATCTGTTTCGTTGTATTGACTACTGTGTCATTAAGTTCGTTGTGCTCATCATGAACATGAACATGAACAGGCCAAGCATCGGCTAACTTTCTCTATCCATCTTTCATTGCAGTGATCGAAATATGCGAAAGGCTGTCGACGATGGGGATCGCAGTCAACCTGGTGACATACTTGGGCGGCACGATGCATCTCCCGAGTGCAGAGTCGGCCAACGTCGTCTCCGACTTCCTCGGCGCATCGTTTCTTCTCTGCTTGCTTGGAGGCTTCCTAGCCGATTCATTCTTAGGCCGATACCTCACCGTCGCCATCTTCGCGTTGGTCCAAGCACTGGTAAGACCAATCGTCCCTTCGCATTGCAATGGGTCACATGAACTCGCCAGAGAAGATGATTCGACGTTCTCTTTACGTGTCTTAGGGAACAGGAATGCTCACTGTATCGACGAGTTTGCCTCGGCTCCGGCCACCGCCCTGTAACACTTCTGCTACGAACAGATGCCGGCGAGCAAGTGGCTTCCAGATGGGCATCCTCTACTTGAGCTTGTACCTGATCGCGCTGGGGACGGGAGGGCTCAAATCAAGCGTCTCGGGCTTTGGGACCGACCAATTCGACGACAAGGACGAGAAGGAGAAGAGCCAGATGGCGTACTTCTTCAACAGGTTCTTCTTCTTCATCAGTATCGGCAGCCTGCTCGCAGTGACCGTGCTTGTCTACATCCAAGATGAGGTGGGCCGCAGCTGGGCGTACGGCATCTGTTGCATCTCCATGCTGCTTGCCGTCATACTGTTCCTGTCTGGCACGAAGAGATACCGATACAAGAAGAGCTCAGGGAGTCCAATTGTGCACATACTGCAAGTGATCGTGGCCGCCTTCAGCAAGAGGCAGCTCAAATACCCTGCGACCATCGCCTTCTTGTACGAAGACAGCCCTGAGATCTCGAGAATACAACATACTGACCAGTTCCAGTGAGTCTCTGCTGACAAAAATAGATCTTGATTGCATCCTCTTCCTCCGAACATTCCATGATCATATTCTCGTGATGCACCGCATTCGACAGTTTCCTCGACAAGGCTGCGATCATGGCGGAAGGGGATAGCGACGTCCATGGTGAGACCTCAACTGTGAACCGGTGGAGGCTATGCTCGGTAACGAGAATCGAGGAGGTGAAGATGATGATTAGGCTGCTCCCTGTGTGGGCTACGACCATCATGTTCTGGACTGTCTATGCTCAGATCATCACATTCTCCGTAGAGCAAGCGACAACCATGGAGAGATCGATCGGGAGCTTCCAAATTCCAGCGGGATCGCTGACAGTCTTCTTCGTGGGTGCCATAATGGTCACCCTGGGCATCTATGACCGAGCGATCATGCCTCTCATGAAGAAATGGAAGGGCAAGCAAGGTATTCAGCTTGCAAAACGTACATGATTCGCTAGAGTAGCAATAGTTCTGATATCTGCCTGTGTTTTGGATAGGCTTCACCAACCTACAAAGAATCGGTATCGGTTTGGCCTTCTCCATCATAGGAATGGCGGCCGCAGCAGTCGCGGAGGCGAAAAGGCTCTCGGTTGCACGGCGAGCAGGCGAGGGTGCTGCTCTCAGGGGCGCGACGCTGCCCATCAGTGTTTTCACCTTGATCCCGCAGTTCTTCCTGGTGGGCGCCGGAGAGGCGTTCCTCTACACAGGCCAGCTCGACTTCTTCATCACCCGGTCGCCGAAGGGGATGAAGACGATGAGCACCGGCCTCTTCTTGACGACGCTCTCCTTCGGCTTCTTTCTCAGTAGCTTCATGGTCTCGGTGGTGAGGGACGTGACCGGTGGCAAGAACGGGCAGGGATGGCTGGCAGACAACATCAACTACGGGAGATTGGATTACTTCTACGGGCTTCTGGCTGCACTGAGCACGCTTAACATGGGAGCTTTTCTAGTTTGTGCTATGTGGATCAAACAAGAGAACCCTAACCAAGGGTTGCAGATGGGGAGTGCAGCGCTGAAGAGTTCATCCATGGAAGACACGTGCTAGTGCTAATATAATCTCAATCAGCTTGTATTACCGGCAGTCTGTAGTATTGCTGCCGTCCATGGTTGCGCTTTAACTTCTTAGACCTTCTTTGTTGTTCTACATCCAGCAAAACACAGTCTTAATTATAGATTGGGTTGCAGATGACAATTGTAATTGTAGCGAGTTCATCTATAGAAAAGAAGTGCTAAGGCAGCCCCTTATTGCTACTTTCTTCCAGGGTTTTGCATCTCTTATACCCGCTGCAATGGCCTCTCTCTCTCTCTCTCTCTCTCTCTCTCTCTTGATCTATATAAAAGCAAACTTTGTTGAGAACAATATATGGTGAGCATTCTTGCAATTAGTGCTCGAGTTTATCGTGAGAACCATCATGTTCTTGGGATTCTACTTACAACAGAATCCTCGGTTTTAGAATACACTTCCCGATGACTCTTGAGGACTCCTCGTCCTCCGTTAAATCTCCTTTTGTTGGATCATGATGTGAGAAAAGTGCCAATGGTTGAGTGGGGAACGACAGATGGACGAACATTACAAGCTCAGCATCTTCTCGGTGGGGAAGAAGAATCCGCATGAAGAATCGTTGACATGGTTCCACCCCAATCTTATAGCTTATCTTGACTGAGAAAGCCTTGCATGCCCTCCACTAGATTCTGATAAGCTCATCAATCATTGCTCCAGATGAAGTGCTCCGTTCTTGGCAAAACGTTGGAGGAATGTGTGTCTTCGATACTATTGTGGCCCGCACATTGATCGAATCATGTGAGGATGCCTTTTAACGTGTGGATTATACGAAAGATTCCCGTGGAAGAAGTTGAAAAGAGCGTGGAGATTAGTCCTCAAATCATCAAGTGCGATTGTTCGACCGACATGTGAGATCTCTTTTGTGTTACTCGACTTTTCCGAATCCCACAAGACACAGTTTGACCGAGCAGACGATGGATGGCATGCATCAGAGCCTCGTTAAAGTTCTTCGGATCTAAAAATGCATTTAGAATAATAATATACATCGCTTACGATCTCGATTCGATTTTCCATACTCAATTAGAATTTACTCGAGTAAACTAATGGGTGATCCGCAGCGATCAGCTCTGCGACACCCGACCATGGTGGGCTCAAGTCACTCAAGAACAGCGCCGGCGGAACGGACGGCTGACACGATGAGGAGGTCTGATCCAAACACGTCTTCGTCTCCTTGCCGACGGGTTTCGGTGCTCGAGCTTTGACCCGCACCGGAAGCTGCCGCTTTCGTCCTTGGAAGCAAGCTGCCTTTTCAGGTCCCGATGATCCGCCGACGATGTCGGCCGCCGATGAATCACGCCCCGTCAGGCGCTGAACCAACGCCATGAACTCGCCGGCCTCCGCGTGGATCACCGTGGGCGACACCAGGTGGATGACGACGGGCTTGCGAATCTTGTGCGACTCCTCACGGATCACCGGCGGCTGCAGCTCTGCGTTCCGACGAGATCTCATGCTGTCCATGGCTTGCATGTTCTCGATCATGTCCACAACCTATATATTTACCGCAACAGCAACGCATGAATCATATCGTATTCCTTCCTAGAAAGTCAACTTTATTAGGAACCGACATTATCTTCATGCCATCACCAAAAGGGTGAAGCTTTCGTGCTGGTTTGTAGCGGTTGTTCGTTGCTTGTGTCGCAACGGTTGGCTGTTCATCGTGGAAGTCAACGAACGCATGAGGGTGGACTAAGAACATGTGGTCGTCCGAACAGGTGGGAGTCAAGTCGAGCTACGCAGGTGAAGCAGCCATCAGGATTGAATAGAACAGATTTAATTTACTTATTTAGATCGAAAGTTAACAGTTAATATAATTAATGCATTGGGAATAAGACGTCAGAGAATTCTTAACTGAGGCATCTTATCCCCCTCATAGAAGAACAGTCGGAAGGCTCAGTCAACTCCACGCAATTGCTCTGCTAAGACTGTCTCAGAATTCAAACATGGTCATCACTGTCTGCTTCATTTCAAGGAGCTCTTCATCAATGGACAAACCCATAGAAACATGTGCTTGTGGACCTTGTCAATGGATGAATCTTATGACACTATTATTTCATCTACCCTAATTGGAAGTAAGAGTTGTTGCAAAGTAGATGGTATTAGACTAGCTAGGCTCAACCATTGACAACCAATTTCTCATAAACAGTGTGAAGAATGGTATAACAGGAAGCTACAGAATGAAAAATCAAGTAGAATTTCTCCTATTCAACCTTGCATACATTCAGATTTCAACATCATACATCTTTTGTAGGTCTGGATTCTGAAATCTGGTGAAGGTAAAAGATTACAAGATACAAGAAAAGAAAAGGATAAGAGAAAGTTGTGAATGAACTGACGATAGTGTTGCATCTCCAAGAAGATTTTATCTGTCATTACTTGGCCTCTTGTTCGAGTATAGGAACATTGTTCCACTTATTTTTCCTTCCATTGCTCTGCAAGGGAGGCAATGAAAAGAAGCTCACGGTGGAACTTCCACTCCTGATCTCTTTCAGAGCCCGCAATGCCGCAATTGTGCTCTTCATGTACAAACTCTCCATGTATTCAATCTCCTCGAGCTCTGGAACTGTTCGGGGCAGCGATGAGCTGGGTTTTGATTGCTTATGCTCTCCATTCTCTCTATCGCAATCGTCCGTGGATGTCAGTGGTTCGTTCTTAGGGAAGAGGTGGTCCAGCATGGTTTCACACTCCTTCACAAGTTTGTTTAGCAGGTCAGTGGTAAAGAAGGGCTGCTGCAGCACCTTCTGGATGAAGGGTTGCCGAATAAGTGCTCCGGTTCTCTTGTCATACTTCTTCAGTATCTTTACCAGCCCTGTTCATCCACCACAAAGCACAATCAGCCTCTGTGAGAGCTGGAAGAAAAGCTGACATGAAAAGTTCTCTCTGAAAAACATAAGTATGAGGTTATTTATCAATAAAAATTTGACCTTGTAGTATTCCTGGAGCAGATAATTGGTGCTGGCCAATGTAATTCCTATTATATTCATTTTTAGGACAAGGCCCCAATTCTTCATTCATTAAGGTGCTGTGAATCTTCTGTTATATTAGAACCGTTGTTAATTGCCCCAATCTTCGGTTGTTAATTCTTCATTCATTAAGGCCCTAATGTTCCACTGGATAATTGCCTGCCCTGCAATATTCATCCATCATTATCTTACATAGGCTGTCCTAAGACTGAATCCTGCTATGATTCTATAAACTTACTTTACCGTATCATTGATGCTCTCCAAGACATCCATGGCACGTTACAATATAATAAAATACAGGGAACCCTAAATTCCTTTTGTGTAACCACCAACCAGCCTGTAGACAAAACATAATAAGCAGCTACTGGTTCAACTTAAATTTGCTTTGTGGAGTTTGGCAATCCGTATATGATAGTTCTAGAGTTTAAAATTCAACAATATACAGAGGTTTCAGTTCTCTACTCGACTCACCAATCCGTTAAATCCAACATGAAGTTAGTCACATTTTTTAGCTCAAATGGTTTTTACCAGAAATGGATTTACGAGAGTAACCCGATTAAAAAATGAGTCGAGTATGGGGATGGGAAATTTAGCAATCAAGCATTACATGTCATTTTCCGGTGATTGTGTCAATCCGTGATGCTTAGATTCTGTAAATGAGACAAAAAGACTCATTAACACAAACATCGACCTTCCCCACACCCTCAGCTCAAGTGAAGAACAGTAACTTATACTGAGCATAAGCATGATGAGTGTAACTAAGTTTTTTTGTTTTCGCCTTGAAGAAGTCAGTGCCGAATGTGCGAGACATGAATATTGGAATTAGATGGAAGTCATCCTACTTCTCTCAATCTCTTCTGCCATTATGCTAGTTAGTATTGTTCCAAGACTTCATTAAATTCTACAATTAAGAATACATGATTATGCAGCACAACTCACTTGAAACTGAAAAGAGATTAAGATGTTTACTTTTTTAGTGCAGAAAAGAGGCTAAGAACTAGAGCAAATAAGTTGCCAAAGATGAGATTAAGATGATATACCAGTATAGTTGAGGGCACTGTAGTTCTCGAGGAGGACTATCTCTCCATGGAAGTCCACAATCTCCTTCCTTACTTTCATCAGCTGCTCATCAGAATCCTTTGAGACAGCCTCGGCAACTCGATCCTGCAGATCCTGCAAAGCGACATATTGATGGAGATAGGACTCGGTAACCCGCACCACAATTTTCAAACGCTAAAGAACAAGCAGAATGGGAGCTCTAATCGGAACTTAACAAACTAGAGGACAGTAGATAAAGACCAATTTGTGTCCCTGTTTGGATCGAGAGGAAAGAAAATGAAGGAAAACTTGAATCTTTCAAGACTCCAAATCTCTGCAATCGATCTCAGGAGAATACACTCTCTTGAGATCTGTAATCAGAGGACAAGTATCGAAACCTCGTTCTCCTACGGGCAATCGCGTACCAAGATGGCGTTTTAGAGTTCGGATTAGGCATATATCTAACCATCGTTTATAGCTTGCAATTTGAAACCAAGATCAAATTTTGGCACCCTAATTGGAACAGGGAAAGAAAAATGAGTCGCTTTTAATGATCTATAGGAACTAGAATGCCTGAAACGAAGAAAGAAGGAAAAGAAAAGGAATAAAGAGGAGACCTTTTGGCGAATGATGTACTCCTCCTCCTTCTCCACGAAGAAGGTGTTGAACTTGTCGAGCTCGGCCTCGAGGAGCCTCACAAAATCCTCCTCCTCCTCCTCCTCCTCCTCCTCCTCCCGGGTCACTAAGGAAGCGGCGCGGCCGGTAGCCGCGCCGTCCTCGGCCACCTTGGGCCGCTTCGCAGGCTTATCTCCGGCGGCGATGAGCTTTAGGCGCCGCTTGAGGTCCTTGTAGGAGAGGAACTTGTCTCTCCACTCCGGCAGCGTCTCCTCTATCTGATTACTGAGGCTCTTCCCGAACTTCATCTCCAAGATCCAAACTTTACGCTCAGATCCACGACCTCCCTATCTAGCTAAGCGATCAAGAGGCAATGCAGGGAGATCAAGTCGCGGGCACAGCAGCAGGAAGAGATGCGTCAAAGAAGGGAGAGAGAGAGAGGAGACGATATAGAGTGGGCCGAGGGATTCGCAGAGTAGATAAGAAGGAAGAGCAAGCGAGGGAGAAGGGAATATACGAGGAGGAAGAGCATATCTTTGGATTTTATTCCCCCCCCTCTCTCTCTCTCTCTGGCGCTTTCGTCGGCCATTGATGTCGTTGTTATCGTTCCTTCATGCGACAGGTACATGGGGAGAGTGAGGTTCACGTGTTTGTTCCCCGGCAGGGTTCACAAAAGCTACCAATAGTTGATCCGGAAACTCGACTCGTACTCTCATAAGGTAACATTTGTGGTTATGTTACTCGTTGGTGATTCTAATTTCTAAACGACAACGGTAGCATATCTGGTCTGCTGTGTATTTACGTGAGTACCCTTTAGTGTGGGTGGGATCCACGGCTTTTATGAGGCCGAACAGTGTTCCCTGTCTTGAGGGAGACAGATGCAAGTGCATGGCGGTGAAGTAAATCTCAATATATATATATATATATATATATATATATATATATATATACTA